CTCCCTGCCTCGGTCTCTCCTTATCTTTGGTCTCTGAAATGCTAGAACCGCACGGTCGACTCAGCATTTCCTCAGGCAGCTGTAACTGGAAGACCACGTTTTATTCTTGCTTAGTTCCAGGGTTCGAACCCGGGCTCAGGGCTTAGCTCTAGGGGAAAACCCATGTCTCTTTCAGCATCCAGTAGCTGCCAACAATCCGGGACTTGTAGAGGCCAACTGGGAAGAACTGGTTCTGATGTCATGAACTGATGCTTCCTCTTTGCCCACAGGTCATTTTTCCAACCTAAGAAGGAGGAGGGCAAAGCCAAGAAGCGGGAGAAGGAGCCTTCCAGTGCAGGTGGCAAAGAAGCAGCCCCTCCTTCCAAGTACGTGGGGACTGGGGGTGGAGGTGGGTGTGTGCCCCCTGTTACTCAGGATTCTTGGTTGCAAGTGTTATAAACCAGAGCATCTCTGGACCCAAAGGGAAATTTTTTTTTTTAACCGTTTCTAAAACCATGTTACTGGGAGCTGATACATCATTCCATAGTTCAGTCGCATCAAGTAATATTGCACAATCGGTACCATAATCAGTTTCTTCTTTCTTGAACTCCTGGATATCAGTTCCCCCTTACTCCACCACCCTAGCCCCAGAAACCCTTACTCTCCTTGTTGCTGTAGATTCACGTATCCTGGGTTTCATGTACCGAAAAAGATAGAAACACACACCACCAAGATTCAAGAAGGCTTTCAACAGTGACAAAATACAACAAAGATAAACCCCAGTATGAAAAAAAAGCCAACCCCGAAAATATTAAAAACCAGATCAAGCCCAGCGTGTATCTGAGGGGAGATCAGTGTCAAGGCTTTTACCGTTCAAGTCCGATTCATCATTTTAATCTCATAGTCATCTCTCCTATACTCGCTATTCCCTTCCTCAGTTATGGCTAGAGGGCAATCACCGCCGGCTTATTCCCTGTGTAGATCCTGCCAATGTGTTTTAGGCTTCCACTGTCATCCATAGCCTTGTGTGCACCAGAATTGAACAATTTAAGCTGTCTATTCCCTCCTTCAGATTTGGATTATATAATTTGCAATCTTTGGATCACGGATGTCGGTGTGCTTCTTCCAGGTGGGCTTAGTCGATGTCCTAGTTAGATGGCTGCTTTTTTTGGACACAAACCTTTGGGACTCCAGGTGCTATATCGAGTAGGGCCATGTTGTAAGAACAGATTGTCCTTACATTGGTGCTAGGATTAACCTCGAGCCCGAAATCCATTCCTGAATCTTAAGGTTTTTAAAAAAATCTGCCTCTGGTTCACCGTGGAGACATCCTTGCTAATTTATGGTGTCGAATTATATCGCTCATCTCCGTGGAGATAAGGACCTTATAGTGTCTCATTGATAAGCCCATAGTACTTACTTTTTTTTTTTTTAAACAATCATTTTATTGGGGGGGTTCTTACAGCTCTTATATAACAACCCATACATCAGTTGTATCAAGCATATGTGTACATATGTTGCCATCACTATTTTATAAACATTTAGTCTCTATTTAAGCCCTTGTTATCAGCTCTTCATTCCCCCCTCCCTCCCCCGGTATTGACTTTTTAAACTCTGATGATAGAGATAGAACAATTGTAGGCTAACTGCTTATCGCAGTACTTGGATTAGTTACTTGTACAGAAGACATCCTTTATGCGACTGGAGACTATTTGCACAGACAATGGGAGTTGGTGGCCAGGCAAAACTTACAATAAAATTCACTGACAATGTCAGTCACAGGTCTGACCTAGCTGAACAATACATAGCTTAATACGGTAAGTGGGGTCTTGAAGTAGGAAGTAGATGTTAGTCCGCCTACTCACCGTTCGGTACTTCTTGTGCTTCTTCATACACCCTATCATTTCAGTCTGCAGTCCTCGGGTTACAGGTGCGTGAGGTCGAGCCTAGCTCTCCTAATGGGGATTCCACATCAGATCCTTCTGGGATGGCCTCCAGAACCGGGCGCCTGTGTGCCCTTACTCTGCAGCAGACTGTCTCTGCTGTCTGTTCTAAGTGGAAGAGACCACCGTTCTCCCTTCCTGCATCCTGTGTGGGTGGGCCTAGGTAATGCGGTCTCTAGTCTCCCCATCCCCTGCCCCCCCCACTCCGCCACCAGGGCCAATCACAGAAGCCCTGGTGGTGCAGTGGGTCAGGACTTGGCTGCTAACCAGAGGTTGGAAGTTCGAACTCACCTCACCGCACCTGCAGAGGACGATGTAACCACCTGTGCCTGGAAAGATGTACAGCCTCAGAATCCGTGCCGGCAGTCCTGCTCTGTCCCGTAGGGTCTCCAGGAGTCAGACGGCCCCATGGCTATGGACTGACTGGGTTTGGTGTTTGGGGACCAGTCAAGAGAAGAATGTGGGGTCCAGCTAGACTTAAGTCAGATCTCTCATTTGGGGCTCCGGGCAAGTACCCCACCTCTGTGCCCTCATTTCCTTCTGTGTGACTCAGAGGGAAACCGCCATCCAGTCGATACTGCCTCAGGGTAACCTCATAGGACAGGGCAGGACTGTCCCTGTGGGTTTCCGAGCTGGTAACTCTTGATGGAAACAGACTGTCTCATCTTTCTCCCACACAGTGGCTAGTGGATTTGACCTGCTGGCCTTTCACTTAATAACCAAACGCTCACCTACCGCGTCACCAGGACTCCTTACATATAAGCATTTACCACAGTTCAGGTGGGAGGGGGGCAGTAGTGCTGAGTGGATGCCTAGGGGGACTAGTCATAGGCTGTTTAAAAGGAAGAGGAGGGAATGAATGGTGGTGGAGGAGCATGCATGCTGGGGGCCAGCCCCCCCTCCCCGCCCCCAACCTGCCATCTTGCCCTTTGTCTCCGTTGCTCCAGGGTGGCACTGAAGGAACGTAATGGAGTGGTGCCCGAAAGTGAGTCCCCCGTGAAGAGGCCAGCCAGGAAGGTGACCCAGGTCCTGGGCAGTGAGGGGGAGGATGAGGAGGACAGCACCCCCATGGTGCAGGAAGTCCAGGTAGGCTCCCCAAGGACCCTTGGGACCCACTGTCCCTGTCTGCTGTGGCTGCCATGCAGGGCTCTGGAGGCAATGCCCACGAGGTCCTGCCTCTGCCTGGGGTGGGTGCTTAGTGTCACTCCCACGGGGCCTCGCCTATCCGTGGTGGCTGTCTGTGGCACTCAGCTTGAAGGGCGACCCTGAAGATGGAGTCCGCTCACAGGTAGATGGTAGGTAACACCTGATCCTACCACCCACTCACTCCTTGCCCTGCTGGGTCTCTGGGGTCATGCTTGTGCTTGTTGACGGGTGGTGATGGGTCGGGGAGAACAGGCGCCCTGTCTCCTTCCCACAAAGCTGCTGGAGGCTGGATTCAAACCCCTGACTATCAGCACTGTTAGCAGCTAAGCACTTAACCACAGCACCACCAGTCCTCTCTCATAAGGAGCTGCTCGTCTACACCCAAGGGCATACCGGTCACAAACGCAGCGCTGAGCGGTTCTCCCAGTGTGGGCAGGGGGCCAAGCAGCTTCCAGGGGCTCCTGTGGAGCTGGGTTGGCCTCACCTCTTCCGACCCCCAAGACCCTGCCCCCCTTTTTCCAGGAGCCCTGGTAGCTCCGTCGTTGAGTGCTCGGTTGCTCACACAACCAAAACCTCCTCTTCCTGCACCTTGTAGCTCTTGCCCCCACCCCCCAGGCCCCCACAAATGAACAGTTGGTGGAAAGTCTGTTGGCGTCATTTTTCCATTGGCCCCTGCTCACTTGGTGTCTGCGTTTGAACCCACCAGCGAGCTCATGAGAGAAAGATGAGGCAGGCTGCTCCCTTCAAGACAGCAGCCCTGGAATCCCTAGGGGACAGTTCTCTGTCCCCCAGAGTCACCATGAGGCTGGCCCATTTTCCAAGTTGAGCGTTCCCTGCATCTCTGCCCTGCCACCGTCAGCTCTCCTCTCCTGCGTGTGAATACTCTTGCAATTGCCTTGATTCCACTTCTGTAACTGCCCCACCTTCAATTCAGCTGAGGGAGCCAGACACCTTGCTGTATCAAGGCCACTGGGGCTCAGAGAAAGTGATGGAGTTGAACTGCCCCCTCAGAGGTTGGCAGAAATGACCAGGTCTCTCCCAAGGAACAGCCGGTGGGTTTGAACCACTGGCCCTTGAGTTACTAGCTGAGTGCTTAACTGCTGTGCCATCACAACTCCTTGAGGGGCAACCTCAGCGCCGCTCTGCCTTACTGTTGCGGTCAGTTTCCATCAAGTCGCTTCCAATGGAAGGTGCCCCCCCCCCCCCCCCCCCCCCAGCCGGTGCACAGAGCAGACAGAACAGTTCCCGAGGGCTTCCCCGCCTGTGACCTTTCAGAAGGAGTTCGCCCTGGCTGACTCACTTCCGAGGTGCTGGGGGCGTGGAGGGAGGTTTGAACCATCGATCTTTCCGCTGGCCGTGGAGCCCTTCATCGTGTGCACCTCCCCAGACTGGAGCCTGTTTGCAGGCTCCAGCGACCGGGACGTGGGCCACCCCAGAGTGGGAACTCTGCCCGAGGCTCCGGAACTCTGTGGCCAGGCTTTGAGCAGGAGCATGGCAGTCACTTTGGGCAATTGGAAATATACCCCTGCGGGGCCGGGGTCCATCAAAATCCAAAACGGATGCAAAGATCCCGGCAGGGATTGAAGCGAGGACTGGACTGGAAATAATGGTCACCCAGGGGGGCCTTTGTCAACTAGGCAACTTCCTGTGTCTCCGAGTCATGGCACCACTGTGTGGTGCAGGGTAGGACGAGTGCCCTTAGGTTTTCCTCCTCACCGGTGACTGAAGGGGGATGAGGAGAGAACCCATGGGATGTCGTCATAGTCTCCAGCCCCCAGGGCTGTGGAGTGGAACTGGGGCTGGATGCTGGACTCTGAGCCCTGGGGAGGAGGTGCCCCAAGCCCTGGGGCTGCAGATCGGGGGTGGGCTGCCAGTGCTGCTGGCGCTCTGAGGGGGAATGTGCTGGAAGGCCCACTGTGTGGGGGACCCTGAAACAGGTTCGGCTGCTAACTGAGAGGGTGGAGGTCTGACTCCACCCCAAGGCACCTCGGAAGTAAGGCCTGGCCATCGACCTCTGAAAACAGTCCTTAAAAACTCCGGGAAGCAGTCTCTTCTGACACATGGAACCACCCCATTGGCTCAAACTGAGGCCGGGACCAAACCTGGTTGCAGGGGAGGCTGGTAAATGTAGTCCTGAGCCATTTACCACACCCAGCTTGCAAGGGAACTCTGGGAAATGAAATCTTTCATTGAGAAAAATCAAAGGTCCTAGAACTTAAAAAAAAAGAGAGAGAATTGTTGGGCCCATGATGGGGAGATTTTGCAGGTGTGAAACAGTAGGAGAGTGGGGTGGTGGTCCAGGTGAGACAAGGACCGAGGCTACAGGGGCAGGGCAGAACCAGCTGCCACTGAGAGGCCCCTTGAGCTCGGCTGTTTGGGAAGGTGACCGCTGAGCAGCCTGTCCTCCCTCCCTTCATACTCAGATCGCTCTTCTTGGCCTTTCCAGAAGCCTGCCCCCGGCTCTCCGCAGACCTCCTTCCCTGATCCTGTCTCGTCTCCGGAGAACAGCCCCACTCTCCCCAACACCTCCCCCATGGACTTGGGCCCCTCAGGGATCCCAAAGCGGCGCACAGGTGAGGCCCCAGGGTCCCCGCCCCCCTCACTGCCCTTTCACACTTTGGCTCCCACCTTGGTGTTGTGTTGGAGAGCTTGGTGGCCTTGGGCCAGTTGACTGGGCACTAGGCTTGTTGCTTCCTCTGCAAAGCGGATGCAGCGCTTTCTACAGGACCCCCTGTGGAGAGGTTCCCTTCCCTGGTGGTGTCCCGCTGGGTGCAGCAGCTACTGTCGGGGGTGGCTGTCTGTGCCCCTTAAAGATCTTCGACTTTGGGAATACCCAGGGACAGTTCTACTCTGTTTTGCAGCGTTCCTGCAAGTCAGAACTAACTTGGTGGCAGTGGGGGGTTGTAGGGTACCTCCATGTCCCCTGACCTGGGTCTGGGAAAACAGGTGGGGGTTAGGCATGTTGGGAAGTGGGAGGGGAGGGTATAGGAGAGGGTTCTAGGCAGGAACAGCCCTGAGAGGGGAAGAGTTCTGTATTTGTGGAGAGAAGAGAATCTTGGAGAATAGGGAGAGGGGAGGTAGGGGGGAGAGCAGAGCCGGGTCCAACGGGCTGGAGGACTCAGGTTTGTGCTAGGGGTGGTCATGGGTGCTGGGCAGTCAGGCTGGGCCTTGTCAGAGGCAAGACGGGGAGGGATGGGTTCATAGGTGCCTGAGAAGTGGTCCCCAGATTCTGGGAGCCCAGGGGCCGGCCTTTTTTTTTGGAGGGGGGGTGCGGGGGAGTGTTCCCAACCATCCAGTTGGTTCAGACTCACAGCAACCCTAGAAGACAGGAGACCTGCTCCTTAGGGCTTCTGAGCGTAATCTATAGGAGTAGCCAGCCTCTTCTTTCAAGGAGTGGCTCATGTATTTGAACTGCCGACCTTGCAATTAGCCTATGGGACATTGAGGCCCTCACCCCTTTTTCCTTCCCAGCTCGGAAGCAGCTATCGAAACGGAAAATCCAGGAGGTCCTGGAAGAGCCAAATGAAGACAAGGAAAGAAAGGCCAAGAGGAAGACGGAGGAGAGAGAGGAGAAAAGAGAGAAAGGGGGTGGGTTGTCTTCATTTACGTTTCTAGAACCGAGCTCGCACCCTCCTTTGTAGCAGACATTGCGATGGCCACCCAAACCCCGCAGCATTTCTCATGGACAGAGCTTGTTAAAGGAGTCAGCAGGCTGTGATGCCTGTGAGAAATGCTCAGGGTAGCTGTTTATCAGGACCTGTTACGGAGCTGCTCAGGTTTGCTAACAAAGGCCCAAAGGGGAGCCTCAACCTGAATGCATCCGGCTCAAGCTCTGTGGAGCCACAAGCCCAGCTCCCTGAATTACTATATATACTCATGTAGAAGCCGAGTTTTTCAGTACATTTTTATGCTGGAAAAGCTCCCCTTGGCTTATCCTCGAGTGAGGGTCCCACGTACCTGTTCTTTGGTGCAGTGCGGGTGTTCTCTGGTCTCTCCAGCTCATCTGCGGGCACCTGCAGCCTCTGGGTGCTTCGATGACTGCTGATATCACCACTCTTCTTTTCTCCTGCACGCTGGCAGGCTGTGTTGTCCGTGCCCTACTGGGCAAGAACCTGCCTGCTTCTGTGTGCTGGTACCGGGGGCGCACTGCATTCTTGTGAACGTCGGATGCGGCCTTTCTTCTCTGGGACTGTGACCAATGACGTAACCTTTACAGTCTTACCCGTGTTACCTGTGCTTGGTCACGTCCGTGTGTCCCCCCGTCCCCCCCCCCACCCAAGCGTTGCTGAATACAAGTACCAGTATGTCTCTGGTCTTGTATCTATAGTACGTTTACTTACAGTACTTAGTCTGCTATATTTTATTTTCAATTTTCTTATAAACCCCTATCTGGACCCAGTGTTGACTATGCTTGCATAGAGCAGCCTGTATTAGGGTTCATAATATACAAGCTGCATTGTGTACGCACTCTGTTACTGCATGTGTTGCGGTAGCCCTTCCCATACATATGCGGTAACGCTGCATATGCAGTAACACAGTGCATACACCATGCAGTGTGTATAGTATGAGCCCTAACACAGGCTGCTCTATGCAAACATAGTCATGTCATCACATTCTGGAATATTATCATACCAAACTCTCCAAACCCTGAATGACTGTCAGCTCCCTTGGGGATCCAGCATGTTTTGGGTCTCCGGGTGTCTTTTGAATGCGATTCTTTTGGGGGGTGTCTGTTTTCCGTGGTGAAGTCTATCTGTCTTGCTGCATTCTATTGCCAATTGATTGTACTTGTTTATATGTATAGTTGTCTGGACACCACAGGGTTTGTTTTTTTTACTGTAAATTGACCTCTTTTAAGAACTATAACTAGGGTTTATGTTTGGAGTAGGGCTTACGGTATATTTTGAGAATCCAATCGCCGTGGTACAGCATTCTTTTTCGAAGTCTTTTTTATCCTGTTAGAAATGGATCCCAATACTTCTAATCCTGGACCAAAACAAAACCTCAGGTCATACGAAGCTGGTTTCAAGCTTAAGGTTGTGTCAAGAGCAGAAGAAAGCAATAACAGCATTGCAAGTAGGGATTTTGTGGTGACATAAAACAAGTGAGGGAGTGGCAGAAAATGAAAGCTGACTTGGAAAAGATTCCAAAGGCAAAAAAAGCTTGGCGTGGTTCAACGACTTCATAGGGGGCTCTAGAGACTGCATTGCATAGATGGGTTATGGAGTATCGTCAAAGTGGTTACTGTGTAACACGCATGGGAATTCGCTTACATGCCCTTCAAATGGCTAATGATGACAAATTACAAGCACCAGGCATTGAAAATTTTGTTGCATCAGCAGGATGGTGTACCCGCTTCATGAGTAGGTTTGCCCTATGTTTGCTGCAACGAAGAAAGAGTTCACAGAAGTTGCCAAAAGACCTTGATGAAAAAGTGATGTTATTCCATCCATTCGTCATAAAACAAAGAAGGATCCATAACTAGGACCCGGGAGGCATGAGGAAGATGGATGAAACACCCATGACCTTTGATCTTCCAAGCAACAGAACTGTGGCAAGTTTGGGAGACAAAACTATTTGACTCAGAACCACAGGAAATGAAAAAAACCATTTCACAGTCGTTCTGTTGTATTTGGCTAAGGGAACTAAGCTGCGGCCTGTCATTATTTTTAAAAGAAAGACCTTGCCTAAAAAGGTCAAATTCCCACCACGAATTATAGTGCGTGCACATATTAAAGGCTGGATGGATGAAGACGAACAGAAAAATGGTTGGAAGAAATTGGGAACGGACGAGCAGGAGCAGCCTTAAAGAAAAACCATCCTTGCTGTTTGGGATATGTTCAGAGCCCACACGTCTGATGACATAAAAAATATGCAAAGTCTTCTCAGGTTACTTTGGCTGTTATCCCAGGAGGGCTTACATCTGTATTGCAGCCCCTAGATGTGCATTTAAATAAACCTTTCAAAGACCAAGGAAGATGAAGGGATGTCATCTGGTCAAGCCCGACTGACAAGAGTTGGAAATCTGATGAAGGCCGACATAGAACTGATAGCAGTGGGTTCGTGATGCCTGGGAAGATTCCAGAGGACAGGGTGCAGCGCGCCTTCAAGAAGTGTGCATCAGTAATGCTGTGGATGGCAGTGAGGACAGCGCTGTGTGTGAGAACGACAGCAGTGATGGTGATGCCTGTGAACTTGGTGATGATGACAATGTCTATTCTGATAACCTCACACCAGCTCAAGCTGAAGCTCTGTTTGGACGTACAAATGAGCAGGAATCCGGTTTTGAAGGATTTTTAACTCTTGTGCTTTAGCTTGGTTGCTGATTGAGCTAAGGATTGTGTACTTTTAAAGTTATTGTCGATACCGTATTTTTGTGGACCCTCTTTCCCACCTACAGAGCTAATTTACTAGTCTACTGATGCCTCAATTAATGTAACTTTATTGGGTCGCCCGGAGTTGAAATCAACTCGATGGCAGTGGGTTCTACTTTAGCAAGCGTCTTGTCCTCTGGAAGTCCTTATTGCTGATGGCAATGTGCCCTGTTTCACCTTCCACACTTCTAAGGGGTCTGTTCCTTGTAGCTCTCCTCACCGTCCCCAGATAGCGCCAACAACCCACGTACATCCACAAAAGAGTGGGGAAGTTCATTGAAGCCGCTTTCTATGCAAGAGCCTTAAACCAAACCACGACTGTGACTCTTGTAGCCAAATAAAATCAATAACTAAAACAAAAAAAAGAAGGAGAAGGGGTCAAATGTATTCTCGTGGAACCTGTGAAAGCCAGAACCTGGCTGGGGCAGACACCTGTCAGAGAAGGAAAATGCAAATATTTCCCATTAACGGGAGGGAGAGAAAGGCGGTAGGATGCGCACGCTGTCAGCAGCAGGGAGCTGGCCAGACGCAGGCAAACAAGGCCGTCCGCCTCGCATAGGTTTCCCTGGGAACACCAGTAGCAATGGTGAAGATGGGGCATGGCACCACAC